GGGCCTTGCTGGGGCCAAGTCACCCCCTCCCCTCGTGCTCCCTCTCTCTCTCTGACTCACCAGCGTGAGGGTGACAGAGCCTCGGGGCCGATCCACAGAGGAGGAGGAGGAGGAGGGAAACTCAACTCCCAGTAAATTACTTGAAAGCATCGGGGGAAAAACAGCGCCGCGCCGCCGAGCTCAGGACCAAACAAGAGGCCCTGATTAGGCCCGTGGGTGTGAGAGCAAGCTTTTGTTTCCTCCTTTCATAGAGCTCCTCTTCAAGGATGCAGGTGCAGAGTGGGGACCAAGGGCAGAGAAGAGGGAGGAGGAGGAGGAGGGGGTTGCCAGGGAAATGGAGCGGACGCCCACTCCTCCTGCTCCGTTCACAGCGCAGCTACGCGGACTCCAAACCGGGCGGAGAACCTCCACCCAGTGCGATCTGCTTCAACAGCAGCAGCAGCTGAGGCCGCTTGTTCCAGACCCCCACCCCTCTCTGCGTAAAGTGGTGCCTCCACTCTCGACATACGCCTCCACGGGGTGGCGGCTCGTTCTCGCTTTGCTGAAAGGTTTAAAGTGGAGGCTCCTCTCTGCTCCAGTTCTGCTCAGTACTCTGGTGTCTGCTGGCAGCAGAGCAGGGTCAGTTCGCAGACTGTATAGTGCTTGTGCGTTCATCACTGTACCTGAGCTTCAGGACACTTGCACTATACTGCAGTGGACCCAATACATGAAAGTTATTACACTGTCCTTCGCCTTACCGTCTTATACTAGACTTTGCAGTGCCTTATTGCAACGCCCCTGCCCCACTGCACTTTACTGTGCTGCACCTTGGACAGCGCTGTAGTGGCCACACCACACTGGGCTCTTATACAAGTACAGTACAATATAACAGCCCACCCCTGTCCGACTCCATCACCCCCCCTAAACCTTTCCTGAACATTCACCAACAACCAGCCAGGTCACCTCACTGCCGGAGAGGGACTTGAACACACCTGGGCCGATCTTAAAAAGATTTCATGACACCGGAGTTCAGCTGTGAGGCAGTGGTCAGCACTGCTGCCCTACAGCGCCGGGGTTCTGGGCATAGCTCTGGACCCGGAGTGCTGTCTGCATGGAGCACGCATGTTCCCCCCATAGTTGCATGGGTTCAGTCCAAAGACACACTGGTGGGTTAAGTGGTTTCTGGGAAAAATGGCACTGGTGCGAGTGTGTGTCTGCCTTGTGACGGACTGGAGTCCCGCCCAGAGTGTACCCTGCTGTGCTTGCTGGGATAGCTCCCCCACGACCCTGAACTGGACACAACGGTTCGAAGACCAGTCGGCAACGATTCCAGACCCCCTCCTCCTGAGGTGCGAATCCCAGAGGAATGGGGGAACAGAGAGGTTGAGGAGGAGGAGGAGCAGAAGAAGAGAATCACAGAGGAACTGTCCTCTGCCTGCAACTGCCCGAGTCATCGCTCCAGCGCCAGGGCTGGAGAGACAGGAGCTCGATCAAAGTGCCTTCATTAGTGTCAGCCTGGCGGAACAGATACATTAGCAACTAAACCCCATTTCTCCAACGCCACCGGAAAGATAATCGATCGGAAATCTGCAATTCAATCACCCAGGGGCAGCACTCGCTATCTTTCTGCTCATCGGCTGCTCCATCAGGACTCCCGAGGAGAGAGAAAAACTCCCTCGCTCTCTCTCCCTCCCTCCCTCTTCCCAGACGGACCGAACCAAGCGGCGCCGAGCCAGAGAGGGTCCGGGATCAAAGACACTCCGTAAGGGAAGAAAAACCTACAATTAAACAGCTAATTAATCAAATGGTCAGAAAATTCGCAGGGCCTACTCCCCCCGCACCAGCAGGAGAGAGGCACAGCCTTTAGAAGACGGGAGCTGTGATCGTCTTGGAAAACTCGACCGTTTCATCACAGACCGAGCACAGCAGGGGGGGGGGGGCAGTTTTAAAGCCAAGGGCTGTCCGTTACGAACAAGCTGGAAAAAGTAAGTATCTCCGACGAGCGCTAGGGTTATCCGTGAGAGAGATTTCAAACGAAGCC